GGTGCTGCCTCAGCCCATCCAGTAACCGGTCTCGCTTTTTTGGGGGGTCCGTGTTCCTCGCAGAACGATTCCGTCTGCTACGTGAAAGCCGCTTTTCCTCTGCTGGGCAAGATCCTGGAGCGAACCGAGTTCAAGGAGAACTCGTCCAACGCCAAGAAGATGCAGATGGTGCGCAGCATGTACAGCCGCATCGACGAGAACGTCGACCCCTGCATCAGGGAGGAGGATGATGAGGAGAGAAAGGTACGGTGTCCCCTGCCTCGTGGGGTGCCAGATCCACAGGGGTGTGGGTCTGAGTCCTCAACCTTGGGTGAAATGGGGTGTCCAGAGCATCCTGGGGTGGGTGCGGGGGCAGGACCTTGAAGTGGAGCAGAGATGGGGTGTGCATGGACGCAGGGAGCCATGGTGGGGTCAAACCCTGCCCTGGGTGCAGTGTGGTACCCCGTGGCGGTGACACCGGCTGCCCGGCATGGTTGTGGAGCCGATGCTGAGCCCAGCTCTTCCTCCAGCTCTCGCAAATGTGCTTCGAGGAGTTCACCACCTCCCCCTACGAGATGCTGGTGCTGGTGAAGCAATTCTTCCAGGACATCAACCAGCTGCTGCAGAACCAGGAGACCTTCGAGAAGGACTGCAGCCAGGTCTACGGCAGGACCTGCTTGGGACCCAAGAAGGCCGGATCCTCACCAGGTGAGATGCTGAGGCTTTGTCTCTGCCCGGCAAATCTGTGCCGGGCTGGCGGGGCTGGGCTCGTCTGCATGGAGCAGCTTGAGAGCCGCGTGTGCCCCTCCCTGGGCACCCCCCGGGCGTGTCTGCATTGGTCCCCGTCTCTGTTGCTCGGCTGGTGGCCGTCCCCGTGGGGTGGCCTTGGCGGCGTGTCGGCGAGCTCTGCGTCTATGTCCGGGGAGAGCCTGGGTTGGGAGAAGGGGCTGGTCGCCCTTTGGAGGTGGGATTTGGGCCGAATCCTGCTGGAGACAAGGCCAGAGAGATGCTGAGGGGGAATGAGGAGGCATCTCCATCGGCCTGGCTGGAGGCATCAGGCTCAGCGCCATCTCAAAGCCGCAGCGCCTGGCTTGGGCATAACACGGAGAAATCGAGGCGTTGGGACACTCTGCCACCGACGTGCTGCATGACCTTGGCTGTGTCACTTCAACTGCCCCGTGCCTCAGTTTCCCCAGGGAGAGCACTGCCCGCCGGGGTGGAAGAACCCGTGTTGCCGTCTGTGCTTTCGCGAGCGCCTGCGCTGTGTGTTTGCATGCCCGCGGAGGAGACGTCTCGCTGCCACCTATGTGTCGGAGCCGTGCCGTGTCCCTGTGCCGTGGGGGACGTTAAACGTGGCTGTCTGGCTCCTGCCAGTCGTGGATAACCCGGTGCCATCTGCTCAGGGGACCCGGTGATTCGGGTTTGCTTCCTCCTGCCCGCTGCTTGTCTTCTTTGTGCTGCCACGTCTGTCCCTGCCTGCTCCCTGCCTGTTCTCTGCCTCACCTTTGCCCTCCCTGTTTGTTTTGGGTTTTTTTTTTTTGGGGGCAGGAGGTTGTTTGACCCTCTTGCCCAGGGCTGTGGGGAGGGAGGGGGTTGCTGCCCCTGACCTCGGATCTGCTGGCTGTGCTCCTCTCGGAGGCTGGTGACCCCATGGCCGTCTCTTCTCTCTGCTTCTTTCAGGTGTGGGGACAGATCCTGACTGCAATTGCCTGTCCCCTGCCCTCCCTTCTGCCACCCAGCCCTCCCTCTCTGCTGCCACCCATGCCGGCAGGGAGGGGGCACC